GTCCCAAAGTGCTAGGATTACAGGCATGAGCCAATGCACCTGGCCAAGTCTAGTATTTTTATTATCTGGCCTTTGACCAAAAAAAAAAAATATGCTGTCTTTTGACATGCTCTTGACATGCATGATCTCACATTTTAATTAGATAAAATTTTTAATTGACAAGTAAAAATGGTATCTATACTTATGAATGTTTTGATATATATACATACATTGTAGAATGGCTAAATCAAGCTATTTAACATATGCATTAACTCATATAATCCATATTGTACTCACATGGTTTAAAATTCCCTAAATATAAAAAAAAAAAAGCAGAGAAATGTCCCCTCCACCTCCACAGCAAATCCCTATGATTGATTTTCATGTGTCTTTCAGAGATGGTTTTTGTCTTAGCCCTTTTTCTGTTGCTTATAACAGAATACCTGAAACTGGGCTGGGCTTGGTGGTTGACGCCTGTAATCCCAGCACTTTGGGAGGCCAAGGTGGGAGAGCTGCTTGAGCCTAGGAGTTTGAGACCAGCCTTGGCAACATGGCAAAACTCTATCTCTATAAAACATTAAAAAAATTAGTTGTGTAGGGTGGCACACGCCTGTAGTCCCAGCTACTTGGGAGGCTGAAGTGGGAGGATCACTTGAGCCAGAGATGTCGAGGCCACAGTGAGCTATGATTGCGCCACTGCACTCCAGCCTGGGTGACAGAGCGAGACTCTGTCTTTAATATTAAAAAAAAAAAAAGAAAAAAGAAAAAAAAGTATACCTGAAACTGGGTAATTTATAAAGAAAAGGAGTTAATTTCTTCCAGTTATGGAGGCTGAGAAGTTCAAGGTCAAGAGGCCAAATCTGAGGAGGACCTCCTTGCTGGTGGGGATTCTGCAGTCCCAAGTCGGTGCAGGGGATGGCATGGTGAGGAGCTGAGTGTGCAAGCTCAGGTCTGTCTTCCTCTTCCCTCTTCCCTTCCCTTCCCTTCCCTCCCCTCCCCTCCTCTCTTTTCTCAACTTCTTTCTCTTTCTTTTTAAAATAGAGACAGGGGTCTCACTATGTTGCCCAGGCTGTTCTCAAACTTCAGGTCTCTCTTCCTCTTCCCCTTCCCTCTCCTCCCCTCCCTTCCCTTCCCCTCCCCTCCCCTCCCCTCTCTTCCCCTATCCTGTCCTCTCCTCTCCTTTTTAAAATAGAGGCAGGGGTCTCACTATGTTGCCCAGGCTGGTCTCAAACTTCAGGTCTCTCTTTCTCTTCCCCTTCCCTCTCCTCCCCTCCCCTCCTCTCTCCTCTTCTCTCCTATTTATTTATTTATTTATTTATTTAATTTTTTTTTTTGAGATGGAGTCTCGCTTGTCACCCAGGCTGGAGTGCAGTAGTGCAATCTCCGCTTGCTGCAAGCTCTGTCTTCTAGGTTCACGCCATTCTCCTGCCTCAGCCTCCCGAGTAGCTGGGACTACAGGCACCCACCAAAAAATTAGCCCAGCTAATTTTTTGTATTTTTAGTAGAGACAGGGTTTCACCATGTTAGCCAGGATGGTCTCAATTTCCTGACCTCGTGATCCACCCACCTCGGCCTCCCAAAGTGCTGGAATTACAGGCGTGAGCCACTGCACCTGGCCAACACGCTCTCATTTAATGCTCACAAAATCCCCACCAGTTATGAAGGGTTAGCCTGATCTTACTGATGTGGAGATGAAGCTTGGGCAGCGTCCCAGGCTGGCAGGGTGGATCGGGTCCTTTTGTTCTCCAGGCCCAGGGACCCCAGGGCTGACTTCTTCTCCACACTCCAGTGTAGGTGATGGACCTGGAGGCCTCCTGGCCTGGGGAAAATCCCACCAGCTTTGCTTTGAGTTGCTTCACATCCTAGTGGCTCCCTTGGCTGCTGAACTAGGGGCTGGACTCACCCAATGGTGCAATCTTGGCTCACTGCAACCTCCGCTTCCCGGGTTCAGGTGATTCTCCTGCTTCAGCTTCCCAAGTAGCTGGGATTACAGGCATGCACCACCTGGCTAATTTTTTTGTATTTAGTAGGGACCGGGTTTCACCATGTTGGTCAAACTGGTCTCAAACCCCTGACCTCAGGTGATCCACCCTCCTTGGCCTCCCAAAGTGCTGGGATTACAAGTGTGAACAACTGCACCCAGCCAAAACCCCCAATCTCTGTCTGTTGGTCCAAGCCCATTGACATGGGCTGCATCCTTCTTAATCCACACTTCCCAAACATCTCTTTAAAATAGAAAATTTCAATAAAAGAAAAGAAAAGGAGGCCGGGCACGGTGGCTCAAGCCTGTAATCCCAGCACTTTGGGAGGCCGAGACGGGCGGATCACGAGGTCAGGAGATCGAGACCATCCTGGCTAACACGGTGAAACCCCGTCTCTACTAAAAAATACAAAAAACTAGCCGGGCGAGGTGGCGGGCGCCTGTAGTCCCAGCTACTCGGGAGGCTGAGGCAGGAGAATGGCGTGAACCCGGGAGGCGGAGCTTGCAGTGAGCCGAGACTGCGTCACTGCACTCCAGCCTGGGCGACAGAGCGAGACTCCGTCTCAAAAGGGAGGCTGAGGCAGGAGAATGGCGTGAACCCGGGAGGTGGCGGAGCAGCCAGTGAGCCGCGAGACTGCGTCACTGCACTCCGCAGCCTGGGCGGAGCTTACTCCTCATTTCAAAAAAAAAAAAGAAAAGAAAAGGAAACAAAAAAAATTAAAAATAAAATAGAAAATGTCCAGTCTGGGCAATATAGCGAGGCCCCATCTCTACACAAAAATCAAAAAAATTAGCTGGGCATGGTGTCGTGAGCCTATAGGAGGCTGAGGCGGGAGGATTGCTTGAGCCCAGGAGGTTTGGGCTGCAGTGAGCCATGACTGCACCACTGCACTCCATCCCGGGCATCAGAATGAGATCTTGTCTCAAAAACAAAAACAAAATTTCAAAAACACACAAAGTAGAGAAGTAGAGAGAAGAATACAATGAAAAATACAGCAAATCACCAAGGCCTTATCACCCAGCTTCTCCAGTTAGCAATTCCCTTCCCCCTTCCCTTCCCCCTTCCCTTCCCCCTTCCCTTCCCCACCACCACGCCCTGCTAATTTTCATATTTTTAGTAGAGATGAGGTTTCTCTGTGTTGGCCAGGCTGGTCTCAAGCTCCTGACCTCAAGTAATCGCCTGCCTTGGCCTCCCAAAGTACTGGGATTACAGGGGTGAGCCACCGCACCTGGCCAGAATTGCATTTTAGAATAGTTAAGTTTATGTTATGTGAATTTCACCTCTATTTAAAAAAAAAAAAAAAAAAAAAAAATCCCACCAGAAAAGAAGGGAAAAGATACACCGGAAGAGCAGAAAACTGCCAAATGGCCACGCGCGAGGGTGGCTCACACCTGTAATCCCAGCACTTTGGGAGGTTGAGGCAAGAGAATCGCTTGAGCCCAGGAGTTAGAGACTAACCTTGGCAATATAGCAAAACCCTGTCTCTACAAAAAAAAATACAAAAATGCATGCCTGAGGTCCCAGCTACCTGAGAGGTTGAGGTGGGAGAATCACCTGAGCCTGGGAAATTGAGGCTGCAGTGAGCTATGATCACGCCACTGCACTCCAGCCTGGGCAAAGCAGCAAGACTCTGTCTCAAAAATAAATAAATAAACAAATAAATAAAAATACATAAATAAAATAAAATGCAATTCCATAGTACATTCACAATGTTGTGAAAACCACCACCTTTATCTAGTTCCAGAACATTTTCATGTCCCCAAAAGGAAACCCCAGCCCTGACAGCAATCTCTCCAAATTTCCTCTCCCCCTGCCCCTGATAATCACTAACCTGCTCTCCATCTCTATGGATCTGCCTATTCTGAACATTTTGCATAAATGGAATCATACACCATGTGGTCTTTTGTGTCTGCCTTCTCTCACTCAACATCATGTTTTTGAGGTTCATCCACGTTGCAGCATGGATCAGTGCTTCATTCCTTTTCATGGCTGAATAATATTCCATTGCATAGCTATACCATATTTTATTTATCCGGTGCTGTTTCCTGGAGTTTTTAAGAAAGCAAATCCAGGTATCATATCACCTTATCCATAAGTACTTCCATATGCATCTCTAACAGACAAATACTTTTAAAGAACATCATAACAAAATACCGCCAACAGTCCTTAACAGAATGCACATGAATTCCTTAAAAGCCCCTAACACCCAGCCAGGTTCGATTTTCCCCACCTGTCTAAATGCTGCTTTGTTCTTAATGAGGTAGATTTTCCCCATTTTGGCTCAGCCTTGGGAAAAATACAGAGACTCTCTGTACCCTTGATGCTGCTGCTGCTTCTTTTTTTAATGAGAGTTTCTCTCTTGTTGCCCAGGCTGAAGTGCAACGGCACAATCTCAGCTCACTGCAACCTCCGCCTCCCGGGTTCAAGCGATTCTCCTGCCTCAGCCTCCTGCGTAGCTGGGATTACAGGCATGCACCACCACACCCGGCTAATTTTTGTATTTTTAGTAGAGACGGGGTTAATCCACGTTGGTCCGGCTTGTCTCAAACTCCTGACCTCAGGTGATCCACCTACCTCAGCCTCCCAAAGTGCTGGGATTACAGGCGTGAGCCACCGCACCTGGCCCCTTGATGCTTCTTATAGGAAAAACACAACCCCCATCTTTAACAGGAGGCCCCTTTGAAAAGAGACACGGGATTACCCTAGTTTTGGGAGCATAAGTCTACACAGATTGCAAACAAACTTACCAAGTTGCAATCGATCACTGTTTTGCATGAAAAGACTCAACTTCCCTTTTCCCTGCCTTTCTTTTTTAACAATACAACCCCTCTGCCTAAGGGAGGAGATCAGCTACGGGGAAGCTGTTTCCAGAACGAACACGACAGACTCAGAGAGGAGGCTAGCAGCTGTCCCCTAATTATCATTTTTCTAAGCGCATAAATAATTTAGGTTGCAATGTGGCGGATTGGAGATGGTTAAATTATAACACGATTCCATATCCCTGCTGCCTGTTCTACACGCCCCCTCCCCGGACCCCCGACAGGAACCAGTGGAAGAGAGAGAATTCTCTTCTTAACACCGTTCCTCTGCTCTTTAAGGGAAGCCTGAGCGGGGCGGGAGGGGGGGGGGAAAGAAAAAAAAAGGCTCCTTTCTGAGACGACAGTTCTGCCCTGTGCTGGGAGGTCACGGTGCAGTGTTAAGGGGCGTAAAGAAGAGAGTAAGAAATCGTAAATTATTGTTCCCCCTGAGGAGCAGTGGGGCTGGCTTGCTCTCAGCTTCTGCTTGGATTGATCTCCCCAGGCTGGGTCCCCATGTAGCACTTCGCTAAAACGATCAGGAGCTGAGAACGATCGGTCCTCCTTTCCCTCCTCCCAGCATCAGGGAAACCTCCTCCTTTTTTTTTTTTTTTTTTTTTTTTTTTTCCCCTTGGCAGCTGGTACAGCATCCCCGTTCAGTGTCTGCTTTTGTGGGGAGCCCTCTGCTCGGAGAACTGCTTTTCTTGGCACCCACTTTTCTCCCTCCTCTCTCTGGGCCACCCTTCTTCTTTCCACTGGATGGGCCATGGATGCATGCACTTCAGATGGCTCAGACCCCTGGGTGCTGACGAGGTGGGACCCTCTGGACCCCTGGAGGACTCGCAGTGCTGACCACTAGCCGCGTCGCCTGAGCCCCAGCGCTGATGCTACATAGGTGAGTGGGGCTTCTGAGAGTGGGGGACGCTGGAGGCAAAGTCCTGCAGGCAGTTTAGTCTTTCTTTCCTTGCTGCAAATTACCTCCATCTGCAAAGGTAGAAATACAAAGATCTTCTCCTGCTCCCTCTGTGAAGAGATTTTCTTGGCGGGTGGGCAGCTTATTTCTGAATTTCACTTGCTTCTGTCTTGAGAACCTCTTCCCGTGTCTGAACAGTTTCTCTTGCTGGGAAGAAGGGGGGCAGACTCTTCATTTCCAGCGTATTCCTGTTTCTTTCTTAAAAATCCATTTTCATTCAATTGCCCTTGGCAACCCCCCTCCCAGCAACCAATGTCTTTGCCATCTGCCCTGAACGTGTGACATTTTCCCAAGAATGAGAATTTCTGACCTAAGTCAAATTCTACTTTTTAATATTTCCCCCACCCCCTCGTCATTCAAGTCCACATTTTAAGTCTCGTGCTGCTTTGAACAAGTGACAACCTTTAGAATTATGCAATATCCCCTCGCCGCCCCCAACCCCCCAATTGCCCATGGCTTTGGGGACCCCGAATAAAAGTTCCCGACGCCGGCGTGCCTGGGCCTTGTTTGCTGTGATCAACGCAGCGTAAATGTGTTGGGAAAAGAGAGATAAATGGCAGATGGAGTTTAGGCTGTTGAAAATAATTACATCGTCTTAGGAAACCACTTCTTCCTTTTAATATTTAATATTCTTCCCTCCCTTGCCCCACTGGAAGGAAAAGCAGAGAAAGAGCTGGACACCCCCTCTAAGCCATCCCTCTTGCCCTTCCCCCTCTTTTCTTTACTTTTGGACCGAGTCGTCTCTCTGGGTGGCTTTTGTTTCTCAAGAAGTGGGAGAAACTGGCAGAATTCCTCTTCTCCCCTCTCCTTCCTTTGAACCTAACAGCTTCATACAACAGATGCTGCTGGGGACGGCAGGGCAAGGATGGCAGGGCACGTCGATTGCTCCAGGCTCCTTCCTTAGAGGCTTCTGAGAGGTTGACCCAGGAGAAGGGCCAATTTAGAATGTCAACAGGAGGTCAGAGCACCTTCCCAGAGGCTGAACCAACAAGAGGGAAGCTTCTATCGCTCCTTTTCCCCAAAGCCCTAGGTGCTATGGAGGAATATTCTGTAGGTATCCCTGGCTCAGGGCTCCTGGCCTGTTCAGGGACAGTGACTCTAGGGCAGCCTCGCCATGTCCCGCACCTGCTCTTTCGGGGATAGCCTTCGGTTGCTTGCAGGGATCTCAGGTGCCTATAGCTGACCCCGACCTCTCCTTACCCATGTGACCCCTAGTCCCCCGTCAACACCCCAGTACCAGGCTGCAGGAAGGCCCTCCAACTCCAGAAGTCTAAGAGGCTGAGTTTATCCCTGTGTGGATACTCCGTTTTCCTCCAAGACACAGAGATCTCAGGAGATGTATCAAGATGTCACTTGGTGGCCAGGTGCAGTGACTCATGCCCGTAATCCCAACACTTTGGGAGGCCGAGGCGGGCAGATCACTTGAGGTCAGGAGATCGAGACCATCCTGGCTAACACAGTGAAACCCTGTCTCTACTAAAAATACAAAACATTATCTGGGAGTGGTGGTGGGCACCTGTATTCCCAGCTACACAGGAGGCTGAGGCAGGAGAATTACTTGAACCCGGGAGGCGGAGGTGGCAGTGAGCTGAGATCGTGCCACTGCGCTCCAGCCTGGGGGACAGAGTGAGACTCCATCTCAAAAAAAAAAAAAAAAAAAAAAAAAAAAAGATGTCACTAGGTCCAAATGCCACTTTTCCTCCACGTAAGATGGGTTCAATTCAATGCAGCCTCCCCTAAAAGAAAACAGAAGATCATTACAGGAGTCAGGAGGGAGAGGATGAATTTGACACTGAGTGAAATTACTGGCAAATGACCTGGAAAACTCGTGGACATCAAAAGCTCTGGCGAGGGTTTCATTTACTATTATTATTATCTAAAATGTTAGTGTATAGGACCAGAGGACCATCTGGTCCCAGGGCAAATGAGGGAGCTTCTATTCCAGCATCTTTCAACCCTAGCTGTCTCCACAGTGACAGACAGGCGAGAGCTCTGGGTAAGCATTTTCCGACCCCCTCAGGCAAGGCCAAGTTTGTGCAATGGATGAAGGAGGACTGACTTAGCCTCCGGGGAAGAGATCCTCCCCTCAAAGTGCAGGTCTTGGCAGGGCGTGGTGGCTCACGCCTGTAATCCCAGCACTTTTGGAGGCCAAGGTGGGTGGATCACCTGAGGTCAGGAGTTCAAGACCAGCCTGGCCAACATAGTGAAACCTCGTCTCTACTAAAAATACAAAAATTAGCCAGGCACGGTGGCAGATGCCTGTAATCCCAGCTACCCGGGAGACTGAGGCAGGAGAATTGCTTGAACCCAGGAGGCAGAGGTTGCAGTGAGCCGAGATCGTGCCATTGCACTCCAGACTGGGTCACAGAGTGAGATTCCGTCTCAAAAAAAAAAAAAAAAAAAAAAAAAAAGGTTGTATTTAAAATTAAAAGGTGCAGGTCTTGGCCAGTCTGAGGCTCCAATCAGCCCTGCTGAGTTAGAATCACATTTGAACTTGAGGCTGGATGAGTCATGAGCCAGTCAGCATCTGAGAAGCCCGGAGGCCCGCACACTCAGCTGGCGTGTGACCCAGGAGCCAGTCAGCCCTCTGTGCCAGTGTCCCTGCTGACCTTAGGGATGACAATGGCATCTGAGTCTTAGCATTTGCTGGGAGGCCCAGCCAGGTGATACCCAGTGCCGGAGCACCTAGTAGGTGCTCACTAAATGTTGGCTACTTTCAAATTACTCTCCAGAGCGTGTGTTTAATTCCTTTTTATTATTTATTTATTTATTTATTTTGAGACAGAGTCTCGCTCTGTCGCCCAGGCTGGAGTGCAGTGGTACAATCCTGGCTGGCCGCCATGCCCTCCACCTCCTGGGTTCAAGCGTTCTCCTGCTTCAGCTTTCCAAGTAGCTGGTACCGCAGGCGTGCGCCACCACACCCAGCTAATTGTTTGTGTATTTTTGTAGAGATGCGGTTTCGCCATGTTGCCCAGGTTGGTCTTGAGCTCCTGGGCTCAAGTGATCCACCGCGAAGCCTCCAGTGCTGGGATTACAGGGTGGTAGCTGTACCTGGCCTTCATTTTAGCCATTTTAAAGCAAACAATTAAACAGCAATGTACTTCGTTCACAATGTTGTACCACCATCTCTAGTTCCAGAGATTTTCATCACCCCAAGAAACCCTGTCCCCATTTGAAGTCACTCCGCATTTCCGTCTTCACGGCCCCTCAGTGACCACCCTAATCTACTTTCTGTCTCTACAGACTTTTTCTGCTCTTCATATTTCATATAAATGAATCACTTTAATGAAATTAGGTCTGACTTCTTTCAGACTGTGTAGGTCTGACTTCTTTCACTTCTAGTTTCCTTTATTTTATTTTATTTTATTTTATTATTAGCCATTTTTTGAGACGGAGTCTCGCCTCTGTTCGCCCAGGCTGGAGTGCAGTGGCGGATCTCAGCTCACTGCAAGCTCCGCCTCCCGGGTTTACCATTCTCCTGCCTCAGCCTCCGAGTAGCTGGGACTACAGGTGCCCGCCACTGCGCCCGGCTAATTTTTTGTATTTTTAGTAGAGACGGGGTTTCACTGTGTTAGCCAGGATGGTCTCGATCTCCTGACCTCGTGATCCACCCGTCTCGGCCTCCCAAAGTGCTGGGATTACAGGCAGGCCACCACACCCCGGCCTATTTTATTTTATTTTTGAGACAGAGTCTTGCTCTGACAAGCCCAGGCTGGAGTGCAGTGCGGTGTCTCGGCTCACTGCAACCTCTGCTTCCTGGGTTCAAGCAATTCTCCTGCCTCAGCCTCCCAAGTAGCTGGAACTAAAGGCACACCCACTATACCTGGCAAATTTTTGTGTTTTTAGTAGAGTCGGGGATTCACCACGTTGGCCAGGCTGGTCTTGAACTCCTGACCTCAGGTGATCCACCTGCCTCAGCGTCCCAAGTGCTGGAAATTACAGGCATGAGCCACACCCGGCCTCTGATTTCTTTTTTTAATTCCGCACTTCTTTCTTCTCCTCTACCACTTGTCTTACCCTCCATGAAATCGTCCTGCAGGTCAGATATGGGTAACAGAACCATATTATACTGGACCTACTAACTCATACATTAATTCTTGGCAAACAACACCAAATCTGCCAGAGATGGTGAGCAGATACCATCTTCAGACATCTTTTTCAGGACTCAACTCAAGGGCTACTCACTTTCTTTTCCCCAAAGGGACTATAAATTTTGGTGGTCAGTTATTTTTTCTCAGCAAAACCATCACTACATTTTCTTTTGACCCGCCAAGGGAGGCAGGTTTGTTTTTGCTTTGTTTGTTTGTTTTGGAGACAGAGTCTCACTCTGTTGCCCAGGCTGGAGTACAGTGGCGCGATCTCGGCTCACTGCAACCTCCGCCTCCCGAGTTCAAGTGATTCTCCTGCCTCAGCCTCCTGAGTAGCTAGGATTACAGAGTGCGTGCCACCACACCCAGCTAATTTTTATTTTTGGTAGAGATGGGGTTTCATCACGTTGGCCAGGCTGGTCTCGAACTCCTGACCTCAGGTGATGTGCCTGCCTTGGCCTCCCAAAATGCTGGGATTACAGGCTGAGTTATAGTGCCTGGCTGGGAGGCAGTTTTTAGGTGATTTCTCTAGAGTCTTATGATCTGAAGGTGAATGATAATTGGATCACAGTAGGTACACAGTTTGGTAGTTAATAAATATTTGTTGAACAAACAAAGCAAATCAGAATTCAAAATGACCACTGCAGGCTGGGTGCAGTGGCTCACGCCTGTAATCCCAGAGCTTTGGGAGGCCAAGGTGGGAGAAGTTGCTTGAGTTCAGGAGTTTAAAACCAGCCTGGGCAACAGAGCAAGATCTCGTTTCTATAAAACATTTTAAAATTAGCCAAGCGCAGTAGCCAGTACCTGTGGTCCCAGCTCTCGGGAGGCTGAGGT